CGCCCGGCCCGGCCCGGCACCGACCCCCGAGCTCGCCCGGCCCGGCTCGGCACCTACCCCCGAGCTCGCCCGCGGTGGCCTTGGCCACCTCCAGATTCCGGGCGATGATCGCCACTCGGTAGCCTTTCCGGGCCATTAACTGGGCTACCGCCTTGCCAATGCCCCGGGAACCTCCAAAGACCGCACAGACTTTGTTCATCTTGGAGTCGCCAGCCCGGAGGGAAGAGGGCTGAGGCACGCTACCGCACGTGAGAGGCCGCAAACTGGCGCGAACAGTACGTCAGCACGCACGGACTCCCCGCCCTCACGCCTAACGTCAGTGCGTACACAATTCCCGCAAGAGCGGCGCCAGAGCCCGGCCAGCTGAGGATGGGGAAGGAAGGGGGGTGGGGCGCTGCATGCTGGGCGCTGCATGCTGGGATTTGTAGTCTTTACGCAGAATGCCACACGCGCCGGCGCAATGGCGTTGTCCTAGCTTGAAGGGGTTGTCTTTCCACGCAGGGTGCTGGGAATGGCTTAGGCAGCTCAGGTGACCGGTCGTCCCCGTTTGCTCTGAACGGAGTTGTCCGGAGACTGCCTTTTCCCAGAGTTAGCACAGTTGGGCGCATCCCGGCTCCAGTGTCCCGCGTCCACCCAGGATTTTGCTGCAGACCAAACCTGTTGAATGTTGGTACCCGCGCGGTGTTGCAGCCTTGTAATCCCAGCTAGTGAAGATCGGCTGATGGGGGGCTGCCTGGGAAAGGACAGTGGGCAGAAAACTTAGACCCTATCTCAATCAATAACCAAGTTGGTGTGGTGTGCATCTCTGCCCCTAGATCTGGGATGGGAAGCGGGCTGGGGCAGGAGTGGGGGTGGGAAGCAGGGAGGGGGGAACCGAGGAGAGGACCAGGAGACTTGGAAAACTAAACAAAAATGGGCTGGGGATTTGACTCAATGGTGGAGAACTGTCTAAGCAATCAAGAGGTCCCAGGACCTCTTTTCAGTCCCCCACCCCACCTCCAAAAAAGAGGGGCATGAGATGGTAGAGTTCAAGGCGACATGACCTACATAGAGAGACCCTGTCTTCAAAAAAAATAATAAAAAAGTGGGGAGGCGGCCGAATTAAAACAAACTTAGGCTGCTCTTGACAAAAGGGAGTTTCTACACTTTTAGAGAAGATGTGCTATTTACTCTTGTTTCTCTTCAAGTGCTATAATCAACTTCCAGTAAACAAGTGTGCTGAGTGCTCTTGGGGCCAGAAGCTTTCAAATAAATGCTTGTTACCATTAGACCTTTAAAAGTGAAGAAAACATACCCTGTTATAGAATCATACTAGATTCAGTATAAGCCATGGGCCCTACCAGTACATGATAGGAAATCAGAAACAACAGGGCTCATACACAGGAAACACTAGGCCATAAAATCACTTAGTAAAGTGCAAACGTAAATTAACACAAAAACTCTTGAGGGAAGGGGGGCTTGGGGGGGAGGATGGGAAGGGGAAACAAAGGAAGAGGCTACAATGCTTGATAAGAAATGTACTCATTACCTTGCCCATGTAATTGTAACCCCTCTGTACAGTATTTTCACAATAAAAAAAATTAAAAGCATATATATAAAAAAAGATTTAAAAAACTCTTGAGGGAAGAAAAGGTCAATGGAGAATGAAGGAATAAATGGAAAAGCTGGATTTAAGGGTGTGATGAGATTAGGGGAATGAAAGAGAAAAGCAAAAAAAAAAGATGATTGAGCATTAATTTTAGGGTTTTTTAAAAAATTCCATCTACCTTGGGGAAGGTAGGGAGGGAAGGGATGGTAGGGGGAAAACAATGGAGGGGGTAACAATGTTCAAAAGGAAGTATACTCACTACCTCACTCATGTAACTGTAACCCTCTGTATATAATAAAAAAAGAAAAAAATTCCATCTACATTCAAAATGGATTTGAAATGGCTTGCAAAAATACATAAGTAATGTTTGACTCCCCCCCTCCCCAAACACATGCTCATACTGAGATAGGCTCTCATTACATAGCCCAGGCTGATCTCAAACTCATCATTCATCTGCCTCTTTCAAATTCAGTCATGCCCCCACAGCTGGCTAGAGTGATTTTAAAAGGCACAAAGCCCACCTTGAAGTATCCCTTCTTCCCCAAGACCAGTACAATAAGGTAAGGTCAATGGAAAATCTAACAAATGAAGCCTTCCTATTTAGGCCCAGTGCCAGTGGCTCCCACCTGTAAACCTAGCTACTCAGGAGGCTGAGATCTGAGGATCTCCATTCAAGCCCAGCCAGGGCAGGAAAATCTGTAAGACTCATCTCCAATAAACTACTCAGTAAAGGCCAGAAGTGGTACTGTGGCTCAAGTGGTAGAGTGCTAGTCTTGAGCACAAAGAAGCTCAAGGGCAGGGCCCAGACCCTGAATTCAAGCCCCAGGACCAGCCGAAAAAGAAAAAGAATGCATTTAGGCACACACATACACACATACAAAACAATCTATTTAGACATGTTGAACTGAAATCCCTGTATGTGACTTACAGATAGTTGGGCAGATGGATGGATAGGTAGGTAGGTAGGTAGATAGATAGATAAATAATCTAGAGCTGAGGATGTAGCTAGTTGATGAAGCACTTTCCTCATATGTGCAACATCTTGCATTTAATCCTCAGCACTGCAAAAACCAAAAATCTATTCAGTACTATGTGACTCTGCGTTTCCTGGTAGCCAAAGCAGCATCAGAAATAGAAGTAATTACATCCCGCTTGGGCAGCAAAGAGGTTTGAGCAACATTACCTCCTCAGGGCACAGTAAGCTTTATAATAAACAATGTTCTTCATAGGAGGAACAAATAAATGATAGCAAAGCTATCTGGATAGCATCTATTATATAAAGGCAAATTCAGTGGAAAGTTAAACAGTATCAGCAAACATTCAGGCATAAGAGTAAGTCTTTGTATGTCTCAAACAATAAGGAAGGTTGGTGACAGGAAAGTTGGGATGGCGCAGGAGTATAGACCATAGGCCATCATTCAACTGGGAAGCCTTATAGACCCTTAACTCCAGAAGAAAGGAAGATAAAAGCTTCATTTAAGAGCCACTTGTCAGCAGTGGTAGCAGGGCGTGAAGCAGGTGATGTCTGGAGCCCCTCTTTCCTACTACACACTCACAAACAACCTCAGAAAGGAGAATCCATTTTGGACAAATTGCCCATCTACTGGTCAGCCTAACTGCCAATCCTATTCCTGGCGTGCAGTATTTTTGAGGAAAAAGTAAAGAGATTCTATTTTTGAGACCAACCCTGTCCATTTTGTATAGAACAGGTTATGTGTTTCCCCACCCACGGTTATCTTAACAAAACAATATGGGCTTTTAGATCTTGGGCCACCTGTCACAGAGATTATTAACATGTGATGTGAAGCAACATTCAGAATTCCCAACACCTTTACTCCCTGTGTATAGATGGTAAATGGGTAGGTTGAGATTTTCCTTCAACACATCTGTCTGTTTAAGCCCCAGGGCTGTTATTTAATATAGTAACACTGTCAGTGTGAGAATGCACCTTTCACATCATAGTGGACAGGATGCTTGACTGGGAGTTTGGTCCTGCATCCCCTGACAATGCCATAAGAGTGTTAATTAAGTTGGGCCTCCCTCGCTTAGCAGGACATTGAAGAAAGCTATCAAGATGGTCCAGCTTCCATTTTTTCAACAAACAGGTCACTTTGGTGACAATAATTTGATCCTATTTCATACATTTGTTTAAACCCACAGTGAATAATTGTCTCTTGGCTCTAGTAATCAAAAGACAAAATGTCTTATTATAAGGACTATAAAAAATTATTTGTACTATTTTTCTAATTATAAATTGAATATTGTATAATCAGAAAATTCGAAAAAAAGTTTTAAACAAAAATGCACTGAAACATCGTGCATTTAAGCATGTGAGTTATATAGCAGGTGAGGATATCTTAATAGAATTGTTATAAAAAGTTTATGAAAATCTATAGCCCTTTTCTAGGAAGCGTGAATCTACGATGAATTCTGAGTGGGTTGTATCTTCCATGGATTCCAGGATTGGTAAAGCCTGAGATTTCAAATGTACAAGAAATTTTTAATAAGAAATTTCTGATTTTGATTGAATATCACTTGAGAATCCTGTTCACCCAGTGCCCTAGACTAAAGGCACCCAGCTTGGCAGCTTCATAAATGAATTGTCACCTTTTCTGCCAGGCATATGCTCTCCTAGAAGTCTGGGCAGTGATGTGTATCTTCCTTTTCCAGCTTCTCTGTGGCCAGCCTTTCATCTAAGACAGCTGGTGCTCTTATTTCAACAAGAGAGATTAGAAAGCTGCCTCCGTGTGGCTGCAAAGAAATAACTTTTGTGATGAAAAAAAAAAGCAAGGTCGCCTTTCTCATTGGCATTCGATCCGATCTGCAGTGTAATCTAAGTGCTAAGGAATGTCCTTTTATCATTTATGTAACAGTATTTTTCATTTGGGGGATGAGGGGCTTGTGGCCTCTGAGTAGTTTTAGTTCAATGAATCGCAGTCATGCTCAGGACAGGCATCCCTGCCTATTCTGCCCACAGATGCCTAACCTAAGCACCATCTTTGAACACTATTGCCAAGGTTTAATCCTAGAGTGTATTCCTCCTGTTTCTCAATACTCCCCTATACACCCGCCTCCCCAAACATACATGCAACCAGTTACCTGGACCTCCTGATTCTTCCCAAGCGTCTCTCAAGCCTGAACCTCCTCCTTAAACCCTGTTGCTCACCTTTGCTCTCTTCCTGATATCTGAATGACTAGATGGTTGTTTCACTGGCCTCCTAAATCTACTCCCAAAGACACTCCCCAGATGACTGCTTCTAAAAGGCAAATCTGGTATTACTAGCTAGTCCATGAATCAGTCAACCACAGGCTTTAAAAGAAAAGGTGGAGGGGGTGGGGGGACGGGGTTCCCTGATGTGATTACCTTTTAATATTCTCTTCTGTACCACCACTCTCCTTCCCCCCCACTTCTTCCCAGACCCTCATCTTCAGCTAATTACATTTCCTGCAGTAATGGGTTCTTTCACACTTCCCTGTCTCTGCAGGCTTCTCATGTCTCCTAGTGACATATATTTGTCAATCAAAATAGGGCTCAAACATCTCTTGTAATAGCCATCTTTCTCTGCTCATAGGAGTGATGCTCCTTTTTTTAAAAAAATCTATCTCCTGTCCTTTTATGTGTCTACAAGTCTATTTCATTCAAGATCTTT